CGGAAATTGCTGAATTCCTGGGACGGCAGTATGTAATTTTTTGGGAATTCTGCGGTTTGTTAATTTTCGAGGTCCTTTGTTGCTTTAGTTTCTCAGTGCTTGGAATCGCGCGTTTAAGATTTGAGAAACTGATTTTATATTATCGGTGCGTCTCTTATAAAGTTGATATATTTATCTTCTAAATCGTAATGATTTTTCAGATACGTATTATTACAAGCGTTAAAGATTCATTTTACACGACTATTATTAAATTTGCAAAAGCGAAACGTATTTTCACCCCTAAAAACACACAATTTCATTTTTCATAAATTCATTTGAACCAAGCTAGTATTCATCTCCAATACAAAATACAAGTCGTAAAGAAACGAACCAGTGATTCAGAAATAATATTAATCTTTCCTACTGAATTCTGTCGCAGAAAACCGAAGAACGTTTTATTCTCGAAGACCGCACTCTCGACGTGGTGAAAACAGTTGCCTGAATAAATGATAGTAACTCCCCGGCGATTAACACTAATAGAAGAGCGTTTATTTTTGAACGAAGGCGAGGCAACGATTGTCACGTCTCCCTGAAAAATTCAGCGTCGCTTTACGCCGGTAGCAGATAGCAAAAATATTTTTGAGAAGCAATCGCGAAAATGTCCCGCGAACAGTTTCTCGTCGGGGGAACGAGGAAGAATCGCAATTGACATTCGAATCGTTTGTTTGCCAGGACGGAACTCCTATCAATTTAGCTGTCCAAGTCGTCAGCAGGAACGTTGACGATTTCTTCTTTTCCCTTCCAATTCTTTCGTCCCCCAGTTTCGCCTGAATGCCGTAGCAGATTCGAAAACAACTACCACTTACAGCGGACTCGTTCCGAGTGTTCCGGGGAGTTGAGAATTGGAAACTTTAATGAACAGAATCCTTGAGTTATATAGATGTCGCGAAAGTGTTATTGAAACTACAATAAAAGGCAACTGGCGACATTGTTTGACAATTACCATGCTGCTGCGCGAAAGCGGCCGCCGCTGCAAAAATTTCCCGGCAGTTAATTATTCGAACTTCCTAGCGGACGTTCAACGTTCGGCACGCCATTTAGATTTCGCTGGTCGATGATTCCTTCTAACAATAGACTGATTTAATATATTTATATACCCCTATTGTGGGAACTGTACAAATATCGCGGAATATTTTCATTATTTCTTCTTTATTCGAACTTTGATATACGAGCTTTTATATTGCTTAAATAATATATTCTCTTTTTTCATTGAACGAGTAATATTTATGAGTACAAGGATTTATTAATACTTTTACCCTAGGTTTCGATTTTCGAACTTGGTTAATATAATGATGGAATGTTTGTAGCTCTATAAATAAAAGGTTTTTGGTACAATTTTAGTAGTACTGTATTATTTTATCATTTATATTAATTGATCACTATTTTCATTAATGTTTACTGGCAAGAAATATTCAATATAGAAGCTGTATATAAATCTTAACAGAATTTAGCCTTTAATGAAATAAATATCTTGGAAAAATCATGGATGCAGCTTGATCAACAAATCCAACATTCGAAATCAAAGATTAACCAACAAAAGGAACTTAGTTTCAAAACGTCGGGCGTTTCCCTTCCGAAGGAAATGCTGAAGTTACCCTTCTCCGTCAAGACGTGAAACTAACCCCTTAAGTTTTCATAGGTATGAATGATAGCGCCGAGAGAAATTGCTCGGGTGTTTGTGCTTCAAGTGCGACTGGAGAGGTCCTAAAAAGCACGTGAAGTTTTGGGCACACGGAACCACCGGTCTCTAGGTGTGTGCTAGTTTAAGAGGGAAGAGTGCGCACCGAGGAGTTGGTCAGTCTGTTCAAGAATTGTTGGCCTTTGCTGGAGACAACCGAATTGCTCTGCCCGTTGTTTATCTGTTGTTTCGAGGTTCCATTACATGACACGGCTAAGTTAATAATCCGCATGTCAATGTAAAGACCTTAACCCGTTTGCGTTATTAGCGAATGTGCACGTTCTTAAACTAGATTATCAGTTAATAGCCAAACAACGTTACTATATTGTTACATTAAATTATCATTCATTATATTACTATGAGTTTGTATTATACACATTTCTATACATTATTATTTATTACATTATTATTATGGCTATTATTATGATTTTGATACAGCTATTTCTATACATTATTATTTGCTCATTATATTATCATTATTACTATTATTATGATTTTGATACATTTATTTCTATACGTTATTATTTGCTCATTATATTATCATTATTACTATTATTATGATTTTGATACATTTATTTCTATACGTTATTATTTGCTCATTATATTATCATTATTACTATTATTATGATTTTGATACATTTATTTCTATACATTATTATTTGCTCATTATATTATCATTATTACTATTGTTGTAATTTTGTCGCGTTTATTTCTATACATTATTATTTGCTCATTATATTATTATTATTGCTATTGTGACGATTTCGTTACATTTATTTCTATACATTATTTGCTCATTATATTACTATTACCATATTCTTATGATTTTATATTACAGTCATATCTGTACTCTATTATTTCTTACATTATATCACCATTATTACTACATCAGTATGATTTTACATCGCAATGCATTCTATTCCACGCTTTAATCATTCGAACATATTAAAAGAAAAATCCGGCGATAATGGAATACTTCTCGTTCCACCGTATGACGCAAACGAATGAACTCGCCGTGTATTCTGCAAGACGGCTTCGAAGCACGGATTCATAATTCGACCATAGTTAACGCTACAGTTAATTTGTACTTCGAGGCGGATACTTGAAATACTTGAGAACAGTAAGGGACTATGTCGCGTGCAGGCACACGTGAACGCAAAGTAGAATTCCGCAATTCCGTAGATTTTCATTCCAGTCGTGGACGGGTCTGAATACCTGTGCAAATAAAACAATTACCATAAAAGGTATATTTTGCCGTAAAGTTTCCGGCGCACGGGAGAGAGAGCACGTATGTATGTATATGAGGGAGCACGTGTAATTACTTCGGTAAACAGGGCTACAACTTAGCAAAGTTGGAGTTTGAATATCCTTTAAACTAATAGTTTTTTACGCCGGTAACCTAATAGCCTTCCGCCGAGAATTTAGGGCGCCACTGAGTTAAGAGTACTATTAAAAAGAAATGTGAAACTGTTCGCAGTCTATGGAACCCCGTTTTACGCTGAGCCGCCGTTTCTGGGGCGTTTAATTGAAAATAATATTTGGCTATCCCACGGCGAACGAAACACTGATTAACATTAAATAATTCTTTCTCTCGTTGTCAAGGGTAGTTTTAATCATGAAAGACTTCGTAATTGTTTCGCTACCAGATGAATATGTATACGAGCCGTTTATTTCACTTGATGAAGTCCAATTTTCAAAAAAAGTCAACCATTATGACAGTTATGATTCTACATTGCCTCTTCATTCTTAAACTATTTTATTTGAATACATTGAATGCGATGGGGGTTAACTAAATCGACTATAGACTCAACTGAACGAATATCATTCGAAAACACTTCTATATTGTAAACAGTCCTACCTAATGTAGAAACATTTAGCTAGATGAACGAGGAATAATAACAATGCAATTCTACCAAATAATTTAACATCATATTTTTTCCATTTTGTATATTTTGTTTTATGAAACCATGCGACATTCAACGCGTTAAAATGGACTTGAATTATTTTCAAAACGAGCGATGCGTAAAATTGATCTAAAACCACCTTTCTATCTTGTTAATACACAATATATAACAAGAATATTAAAAATCGCACGAAATTCAAATAAACAATTCAGCCATTAACACTAAACATACCGCGACCGGTCAAATGACCAGTTTCAAAATTCTATACTCTGTGATTAATCATTTTCTCAATTTTTATAGTCCCATCACTAAGAAAAATATATTGTCTACTTCATTTATCTTTATTCTGTGACTATTTATTCGATTAGTTACGGTAAGAATAGGTACCGTCGGTTACTGGGAACCTGGCACTCGTGACGTCATGGGGGCGGATACAATCGCTCCGAGAAATCCAATCGCGAGTTAGTAAACTCTTCACGCTTTTTGTCGCGCGACCTGGTGTGCGTGAGTGTCCCAGCCAATCATATACCAAACCCACAAATTCCTGTGAGAAAAGCGTGCGCTCGGAATCTGTCTATTCAAACGGAAGTGCCTCGTTGCAACATACGGTATACACAAGGTGCCGATACATTTAGTATTAAATAATCATCTTAACCAGTTAACTGTGGAATTTAGTTGGAAAAATCTCTCGTTCTGCGCGCAATAAAATCGAAAAATGGAGCGCGTACTCGTTGAACGCGGGAGGAATGCACGTAAAGTATATTTTAATGAAAGACCAAAGCGAAACGAGGAAGAATTACATGTTTATGTGAAAAAAGTAAAGAATTCACCGCTGAAAGAATTGGTATCATGTCAAGCTTTACGATGACGTGCATACTCGTCGAACACAGTTAACTGGTTAACAGAACACCCGATCGTTCCATTCGGTCACCGATTAACCTGCACTCTTGACGAATTACGTCACCGATCGGCCCGAATAATACGTCATCCTTTATTCACCCGTCGCGTCTTTACTTATTCAAAACAAATTCTCGTCCCATCACTTATTCACCCCCGCAGCGCGTGCAATCTTTATCCGGCGGGAAACGATGCACCCGTTATTCTTATCCGGTTAGTCCGAATGAAATTCGGGCGAGTGCGGGGCTCGGTAACGGTCGAACCGGAGCGTCGCGTCGCGTCGGCCAGCGAGGATGGCGAGTGCGTTCGACAACCCCGTCAAACGGGTCGCTCGTCCGATCTTCCAATTACGGTGAGCGGCACCGGGATAAAACGTCGCGCCGCCCGAATAGGCCGCCGTTCCGCTAAACAGAAACACACCTGTCTGTTGCAGGAATTTGCTCCGGTCTGCGAGAAGTGCGGATGCAGATACCGACGGCCGTGAAGAAAGGTAACTCGACGATACTGAACTGCTGGTATGACACCGAGGAGGATCCTTTATACGCCGTCAAGTGGTACAAAGGGGGTCGAGAGTTTTATCGCTACGCCCCGAACGAGACCCCGGTCGTCAAGACTTTCCCCATCGGGAACTTGACGGTGAAGGTGAGCATCGAATTTCCGTCCCTGTTCCTTCGTTCTCTTTTTCTATTTCTCCCTCTGTCATATTCTCCTTGTTTTTGTCTCTCATCCCTTCTTTTAGTTAGAGAGACTCTCTTATTTCTTCTCGTTCACTCTCTTTCTATCTCTAACTACCTCTCGCACTTTCTCTCGATGTCTCTCGTACTCTCTCTTTCTCTGTCACTTTTTTTCACTGTCTCTCATACTCTCTTTCTCTCATTGCCTCTCATATTTTCTTTCAAACT